CTCGTGATTTGCTTGATAACAGTATCGGGGACAGGGAATATATTCAACCAAAAGTGAACCATGCCAAAAAGGACTGATTTGAGAAGCTCCACTCTCCCAGCATAGCTAAGATGCTTCCCCAGCCAACCATAAATAGTAGAGTGAATCTTGTTGAGAAGGGGAGAGAACTGACTGGCTAGGAGACGGTGGGGGCTTAAGGGAACGCCAAGATAGCGAAATGGGAAGGATCCCTCAACGAAGCCAGTGTCCTGGAGAATGAGCTGCTTAATGCTGTCTGTGACTCCTCCAAAAAATATAAAGGATTTGTTGGCATTAATCTCTAGACCGGAAACCTCTCCAAAAGAAACTAGTTGCGAAAAAAGAGTAGAAACAGATTGCCTATCTCCTCTTGAAAGTAGGATCACATCATCTGCAAAAGCAAGATGGGAAATGCCTAGAGAATTACATTTGGGGTGGAACCGAAAGCCAGGAGATAGAGAAGCCATACGAAGCATTCTGCCGAACCCCATTCTTCCCTGGAAAGAAGCCAAAGATGCTACCATTAACGGCTATAGAATATGAAGCAGTCTCAACACACTGCATAATTAAGTGAACGAAGTGGTTGGGAAAACCAAGCATTAACAAGAGCTGTCGAAGGAAAGGCCATTGAACTGAATCAAAGGCTTTTCTAAAATCAATCTTCAACAAGCAACGGGGAGAAGATCTTTTCCTTTCATAATCTCGGAGAAGCTCTTGGAGCAAATGAATATTGTCAGCCATAAGTCGACCACCCAAAAAAGCATTTTGTATAGGACTAATAATATTTGAGAGAGCATGAGATAATCTCACTGCAAGGAGCTTAGCAATGACCTTATATATAACATTACAGCAGGAAATCGGACGAAAATCAGAGGCAAAAGAAGAGTTGGTAGATTTAGGAATTAAAGCAATGATAGAGTGATTGATTTGCTTAAGCATGGCGCCAGACTCAAAGAAATCCCTTACTGCACGGCAGAAATCCCCACCTATAACATCCCAAGACTTTTTGAAAAAACAAGATGAGTAACCATCAGGCCCTGGAGCTTTATCATCATCAATAGCAAATAGAACATTCTTGATGTCCAAATCAGTGAATGGAGCAAGAAGAGAAGCGTGAGTGTTAGCATCCAGGCAAGGGCCATGCTGAATGACAGAGCTATCAAGAGGAAGGGTGTCTTTAGATGTGCCAAGTAAGTGGCTAAAATAATCAACAAACACCGTCCCCACTTCATCAATAGAAGTAGTAATAGTGCCATCACTACGATGAATTGCCGGAATATAATTCTGCCAATGCTTCCTGCTCATTAGTGCATGAAAAAAAGAAGAGCCTTGGTCACACTCTTTGAGAAAAGTAAATTTGAGCTTTTGAGAGAAAAATTGACGTTCAGCTGCTTTGAGATGAAGAAACTGTTGCTGAAGGAGCTTATCCTCTGCGAGGAGTTGAGGATTATCTCTGTCATTCGAGAAGATAGTTTGATGGTGGTCTAAGGCTGCCTCTGCACGAGCAACCCTAGCAGAGATATGACTGTAGTGCAATCTATTGAGTTCTCTTAAAGGCCCTTTAAGAGCTTTGAGCCGTTTACAAAAGGTGAACATAGGCGACCCATAAAACTCATGATGCCAGTTAGCTGCAACCAAGTCTGAGAAGCTGACATGGTGAGTCCACATATTAAAGAATTTGAAGCTCTTCTTACCAATAAAAGACCTAGACTGGAGAGTGATAGTAACAGGAGAGTGATCAGAGAAAGCACCAGGATTGTCAAAATGGACGTGAGCAGAGGCATGAGCTGGAGACCAAAGTGAATTAACAAGAGCACGATCAAGTTTGGTCCAGACCTTGCCGTTGGACCAAGTGTAGTGGCATCCAGAATAATTTAAATCTATTAGCCCCAGATCGGAGCAACACTGCCTGAAGTCCGCAGTCTCGTAAGTGGACACTGCTTCCCCATTATGCTTGTCATCTTGAGATAAAACAGAATTGAAGTCGCCTAAAATAATCCAAGGGGAATTGGGATTCCAGTTTCTCAAGTCACTCCAAAGAGTTCTCCTAGCAAGTAGAGTATTAAAACCATAAACAAAGGTGGCATAAATGCTGAACTGATGAACCCGACTAGAGATAAGAACATGAAGACCTTGAGCTGAAACGTCAAGTAATTCAACATGAACAGTAGCAGGGTTCCAGAAAACTACAATGCGAGCTGATGAGGCTACTTCTGCATTGGAATGAACTTTCCATTTCTTCAACCGAAATTGCTGCATCGAAGATACTTTAGACAAAGCTAATTTAGTTTCCAAAAGACCACAAATATCTAAGTTATGTTTCCTCATGAGGTGGGCTACCTCATGCTGTTTCAGAGGGTTATTTAACCCCCTGATATTCCAACAACGAATAATCATCAAGAGTGGGGGATGGGAGGCAACCCCTTACCCCTGCCAGAAACACCATTGGTGAGCTGCTGAGCTCGTTTGCTTATGGGCATCC